GTCATCAACGACGTCGGAATCATCCCTCCCTCTAAGCTTCTTCTTCACAGGCCCCTACAACGGTTCATTTCCATTGAAAGAACTGTCTCCTTGGAAGGAAATCGTTTGAAGACCCAGAACCATACCAACACAATATTTTCGGGATTCCAACGCCGAGGATCAACCTGACTGCGTCTTGACAATCCGGAATCGTGCCAGAACACCGTTCCTGGGATTTCAGCACAGCGAAGACATAACTGTTGCACCCGCAAGGCATAATCCAATGGGAACCAGTGAAACTCTTGTACATTTTGAAAAACGAATGTGCCCCGCGCTAATGCGAGAGTCAAGTTTTGACAAGGAACCACCCTCAATCCGTGAAGCTCTTGCAAATGTTGAAAAATGAATGTGCGCGGCGCTAAGTCGAGAAACACGTTTTGAAAACGACCCGCCCTCAATCCGTGAAATTTCTTGCAAGTTTTGTGCGCCGCCCTAAGGCGAGGGCCGCATTTTGAAAGCGACCCGCCTTCAATCCGTGAAACCCTTGCAATGTTTAAAGCGAGTGTGCGCCGCGCGAAGGTGAGAGCCACATTTTGAAAACCACCAGCCCTCAATCCGTGAAGCTCTTGCACATGTTCAAAAAGACTGTGTGCGGCGCTCAGGTGAGAGCCACATGTTGAAATCGACCTGCCCTCCATCTGCGAAGCTGTTGCCAATTCTTAAGCTTCAGAGTCATAAGTGCGGAGGAAGTCTCAGGCAAAACGCCCAGCCCGCCCTAAAAACTGATTGGCCTCGGGGTGCGACAGGGAGGAGTTATCTGGAAGGAGAAAGAATGGAGGAGGAGGAGGAGGAGGAGGAGGAGGAGGAGGAGGAGTGGAAGGAGGAGGAGGAGGAGGAGGAGTGGAAGGAGGAGGAGGAGCCCCCAGGTGTGCAGGCGGACCCCGACGAGACCGTCGTGCTCGTCGACCCGCCCAGGGCGGGCCTCTCGCCCGGGGCGCGGGCCGCGCTCCGGGGCCTGGGGCCCCGCCGGCTGGTCTGCGCCCCAGTGGGCCCTGGAAGCCACGGGGCGTTTCTTTACCCGGTTTCGTTTCTCCGCTTCTTGTTCCTCGGGGGCCCCCAGACGGGGTGGTGACCACACCGTGCGGTGAGTCGGTGGGGATTCGGGGTCACCGCACGGGTTTGGGTCTCGAGGCCTTCTCCGAGGACGTCTCGGGCGACAGGGGCCTCCGGGGTCCCAAGACCGTGCGGTGAGGTCTTGGGGGATTTCGAGGTCACCGCACGGTCTGTCACCGCACCGTTTCGGGACTCCAGCTCAGTGGGCCCTGGAAGCGACAGGGCGTTTTTTTTTATCTGGTTCCGTTTCTCCGCTTCTTGTTCCAGGATTGAAGAACACACAGACACCAGTGATCGTCGATGCCCAGGAAACTATATGGGAAGATATGGGAAGTGGCGGGGAAGACGAAAACCGAGAACATATGACGGAAAAGTGTGGGGAATCCTGTGATTCGCGTCTATTTATTTAATCGCTTCGCTCATTCCGCCGGCCCATACAGTCTCATGTCTGCCGTTTGCCCGAGGGCCTGTTGTCAATGCGGCGCTTTGGGAGTTCCTGGGGCCGCTTGGGGGACTCCTGGGGCGCTCGGGGGGGCATTTGGGGGGCCTCCTGGGGCCGCTTGGGGGACTCTTGGGGGCCTCCTGAGGGCCTCGTGGGGGCCTCTTGGGGCCTCTTAGGGGCCTCTTGGGGCCTCGTAGGGGCTTCTTAGGGCCGAGGGCTCGAAATGTTGTTTCGTGTTCCCTCTCTGGGGCCCCTTTGGGGGCGTTCTTGGGGCCCTCTTGGACCGTCTTGGAGGCTTCTTGGGCCGTCTTCGAGCCCTCTTGGGCCATCTTGGGGCCCTCTTGGGGCCTCTTGGGCCCTCTTGGGGCGATCTTGGGGGCCTCTTGGGCCGTCTTGGGGCGTCGGGAAGCCGAAAAGGTGGAAGCTCCAAAATCTCTCAAAAACCTAAGGAAAAACAATGATTTTTGCCTCCGGGGGCCCTCTTGGGAGTGCTCTTGGAGGCCTCTTGGGGCGTCTGGGGGCTATCTTGGGCGTCTTGGAGCGATCTTGTGGCATGTCGGACCCCTCGTGTACCATCTTGGGGGCCTCTTGGGGGCCTCTTGGCCTTTCTTGGGGCTCTCGGGGACGTCTCGGAGCCCTGTTGGTGCGCTCATGGAGCGCTCCTGGAGCGCTCTGGGGGAGTCTCCCGGGGATCGGTCGGGGATCGCCCGGGGTACTTTTCGTCCGGGGACCCCCAGGGGCCGCCCCGCGCGCGCGAACTAGAGAATTGTTAACCAGTTACCGGAGATCTTAGCACGCCTCTGGCCCGTTGGGCCGGCGAATTTGTGTCTCCCTGGGCCCCTTCATTTTTGCCGGTTCCGTCGCTTTTTTTTTGCTGCTTCCGTCGCCGTTGTTTTTCCGGTTCCGTTTCTGGTCCCGACCCCGGAGCCGTTTTCGTTGCCGTTTCCAGTCGCGTTTTTTTTGCCGCTTCCATGTTCAAGAGGCAATTTTTCGAAAATGGTGAGGAAATAATTAGCCCTGCCGTTTCTGGGGCCCTCTCAGGTCTACGTGTCGTGCGACTGCCACACGCAGGCGCGCGACCTGCGCGAGCTGACGGCGGGCGGCTACGCAGTGCGCGCGGTGACGCCGCTGGAGCTCGGGCGGGGCGAGCGCGACCCCGAGATCCTGGCGTCCCAAGTTTTTCGAGCCGGGCGTTGTCGCGTTTTTTCGGGCCCTGGGACCCTCGCAGATCGATCTGGCCCAAGAACGAACGCGGAAAGACTGTGTCCCGGGCTCTGGGAGTGATTTTGTACGATGTTTTTTTTTCGCTACGTCGGATCCCAGAGGAGGAGAAGTCCGTTCCAGAGGCGTCCCAGAGCGCTCTCAGAGCGCTCTGGAACGCTCTGAGGGGGCCGCGGCGCCCGAGGCATCCTCCAGAGCCGCCGGAGCTTAGAAGCTCTCGACGTGTCCGCAGCCGTTGTCATTCAGGAGGGGAAAACAGACGGACACAATCAAGCGTCGATCCCCAGGAAAATATGGGAAAATATGGGAAGTGGGGGGGAATACAGAACCCCAGAAAATACAGGAAAATATAGAACCCTTTTGTTTGTGTGTATTCATTTGTGTGACCTGGGGCCCCTTCAGTCATCCTCGCCCTGGCCTCGTCTCAGGACCTGTTCCCGCAGACGCGGCACCTGGAGTCCGTGGTGGTGCTCGAGCGCGGCGCGGCTCCGCCTGCGCCCCCCGGCGCTGGGCGGGTGCAGCGGGTGGGGCCCCCGTGAGGCTCGGGCTCGTGCTGCTGTGCTGCCCGCTCGCCCGGCCTCGCCCGGAGGCCATCCGTCGGGCGCGCGGCATCGCTGCGGGGCCCAGGAGCACGCACCACCACCAGAGGGGAACGAGAAGTGGCATAAACATGAAAACTCGGAGGTCCGCGCGGATTTCTCGGATCGGCGCTGGACCCCCCTCCCTGGCGCGCGGAGCGCACCAGGGGCGGCGCCGGAGGCGCCGCCGGGGGGCCCCAGCGCCGATCCGAGAAATCCGCGCGGACCTCCGAGTTTTCATGTTTATGCCACTTCTCGTTCCCCTACACCACCTCCCTCACCCCCTCCTCTCCCAGGACAGAGGAGAGTAGGAGGAGGGCAGAGGAGGGAGGAGGCATCGACGTGGTGGTGGTGGTGGTGGTGGTGGTGGTGGTGGTGGTGGTGGTGGTGGTGGTGGTGGTGTGCAGTCTTGGGGCCCGCAATCGCGGCAGAGGACGCCGCGGGCCGTGGCGGGCCTCCTCGTGTGCCGCTGCTCGTGCCGGCCTCCTGCTCCGGCCCGGCAGGCGCACCGCCCGAGGGCCTCGCGTCTCCGAGGCGCACGCTCGGCCCCCTACAGTACGCACGGGGCGTCGAGGCGTCAGCGACCTAGCCCGCGCGCCGGGCCCGCGTGCGCCTGCCAGCTCTGCACGGCCGGCAGCGCGTCCGGGCAGGCCTGGGCGAGGCCGTGGCGCTCGTCGGGCCCACCGAGGCAGGGCCTCCCGCCCGAGGAGGGCCGGGCCCGCTGGACGACGTCGTGCTGGCGCGCGGCCTGCTCGGCTCTGCCGCAGGCGGCTGCACCGTGCGCGCGGTGACGCCGCCGGTCTGCCGCAGGCGCGGCATCTGGAGCCCGTGGACGTGCTCGGGAGCGACGCGGAGTGCTCCTCGTCGTGGTGGCGAGGTCAGGGCCTCCGCGGCGCTCGACGCGTCCTGCGGGTCGGCACGGCCTTGGGGGTGAGAGCGTGAGAGCCACCGTGGATGGATGTGCTCGGAGCAGTTACTCCGAGGCGCTCGGCTGCTCACAGCGTCACCTGCGCGACCTGGCTGAAGACGGCCGCGCCGTGCGCGCGACGACGCCTGTGGACCTGCCTCCCGCAGGGGCGGCAGTCGGAGTCTGGTGCAGTGATTGAGCGCCAGCCAGGGCTGTCCTCGGTGGTGCGACAGCTGCGTGTCGTGCCGACTCCTGCGGCGAACGCAGCTCGGGCGTTCAAGGCAGAATGCCGCGAGGGGCCAGAACTGGCCGATACCGCACGACCTGCCATTGTCGGACAACGGCGATTGATCAAGGTTGTCCGATCCACGCAATGTCAGAAACAAGCCCAGAGGTAGTCTCGACACGAAACTGCCGTAGGGAGGCAAAAGCCTCAGTGGTAGTCGGCGTGTGTTGGCAGCCAGGCCTGGCATCTAGGGTGGTCGTCGGACGTCAATTGGCGTTCTCCTGCCCTCTGCGCGTCGCTGTCAAACTGCTGAAATAAGGAACAGTTCCGCTTCGGAAGGGGTTTGTTGTTCCTTTGGTCCTGCCATCGTTGTCCCTCCAGCGCTCCCCGTGTACCCAGGCGCTTCTGGGGCCAGCGGGGGGCCTCGTTTCTTATCCAGCGACCCGCATTGTAGCAGCTTGGCCGTGCTCGACATCTGTTCTGGCAGATTTGGCATCTGGTGGCCATGGCTGCGCCTCGGACGTTCGTTGGAGGGGAGAGTTCTCCTTTCATTACAAGAATCCTGGAGGCCTCGCGCGGCGACCAATAGTTGTAATGTCTATGGGTCGACGCTCGCGCGGCGATGCTCCGGCGTCAGCCCGACGTACATCCGAAGTAATTCCGACGCAGTCCGACGTGAACCCGACATAGATCCGACGTGGCTCCGACGTACATCGGGCCTCAGGTTGGCGCGTGAGGCCTCCAGGGTTTTCCTCGTGGCCCTCACGTGCGCGGGAGAGAAGGCGCCACCGCTGGCCCGAGGGAGTCGCCCCTGGCGCCACCCCCCAGGGCCCCCAGGCCGTCCCCAGCCCGCCAGCGGTGAGGACCTGCGCGCGCCGGGGGTGCCGTCGTCGTCGGCCTCGGGGGGCGGGCGTCGGGCCGCCCCGCGGCTGCGGCCGCCTCTGCCCTGCGCCGCGTCCCTGGCCCTGCCGCGGCAGCCTCCGCGCGGCGGCGTGGCCAGCGGGGCGGGGGCCCCCTCTCCGCACTTGATCTCGCGGCGAAGCGGGGGTGGGGGGGGCGGCGGTTGCTGCGGGAGAAGGAGTTACGACCTTTTTCGTCTTTTCAGGATTACGTTTTTTGTTGTTCTGTTGTGTGTATAACAAGTAAGAGCAAGCAGCGTAGACCCCAAACATGAAGTTTCTTGCAGTATATGTCTTGCACTCCTGCGCGGATCAGCCTGAGTGGTGCAGTCTAGGTTGTGCAATCTATGTTGTGCAAGCTATGCTGTGCAGTACAAGGGGTGCGACCTAGGATTTTGAATACATGTTGAGAAATCGATGTGGAGCAAGAGCCAATTATGTGGTGCAATCTGTGTGATGCGATCCACCCCGCCGAACTTGAAGTTGTCAACTCCACTGCTCGCGCAGTCATTCCATCCACCCATCCGTAACTTTGTTTGCAAAATCCATGCGGCGGCCATTGCGATGATTGCTTGGCGCTGGCTGGCGCATCGCTGCGGCCGCGCTAGCGCGCGCAGTCTCGCGCGCAGAGCGGCGAGCTAGTCTGGCGCGGCTGACGCGGCCGCGGTTGCGCTGACCACTGAGGATATCTGGCGCGTCTCGAAGGCCGCGTTGACGCGCGGACGCATCAGTGCGAGTCGGTGATTCGGGCGGGCCCAGTACCATGGCGACGTCGACAACGGCAGACGCGGTGATGATAGAAACGATGCTGATGACGACGATAACGATGACGACGGCAAGGCCAATGACGGCGCCGATGCTGATCATGCCGATGACGATGATGGTGTCCACGTGTCGGTGGTGAAGTTGTTGGAATGATTTCGACACGCGCGGCCGACGGACGGGCGCGAGTGGCCCGTATGGCTTGATTTGATAATGGCCGTGCCCCCCCCCGCACGCGCGCAAGGGCGTTCGAATGATTCCGACATGCGCTCTCGAGAGGCCCGCTTGGTTTCATTTCGTTGACATGTCGAAAATTCGTGGTTTCCCGAAGAATTAGTAAGAACGCGCCGCATTCTCGATTCCAGCTCGTGTTTCCCCTCAGCCTTGTTCGGTTTTGCACCTACACCTCCATTGCTTTGTGTTGGCGCTCTTCATGTTGTTGTGTCGCTACAGCTTCCCAAGTTAATTCAGGTTCATGCCTACGATCGGTTGATCCTGCTGAGCATTTGGAGGACGTGCGCGATTGTTGAGTGAGGGTTGGCGCGTCCTTGGCAGCTGGGTGTGCTGGAGTGTGGCGCGGCCGAGGCAGTCCTGTCTCGTCAAACCCGAGGAGCACGGTATGCATTTTACTTGCGTTGGCGGCTCAAGGACTGCGCCCCGCTCGTCTCCCGAGTGCCCTCCTGGCGCGCCCCCCTTGGTCCTTCTGCTGCTCAGGACGCATCTCCTGCGAGGTTACACTCAGCATCGGCGCTAGTATATCCGCTGGCGAAAACCAGCTTCACTGGGCCTGATCCCATGTAGTTCCGCTTAAGCCAGGCTTGCCTGGGCTCATCTGGATCACTACAAGGGGCTTAATCTGGGCTGATCCGGCTTGGTGTCCCCTGACTCGGGCTCGCCAACACTGCATCATTCCTGCGAAGATTTCCCCGAAGGTGCCTCCTCACGTTGCCCCCTCCGCCTCTGCCGCGGCCCCCCCCCCTCCCCCACGCACCGCGCATGGAATGCCGCCTCTGCCTGCACGCGGTGCTGGAGGACGCGAGTCCGGAGGACGCTGCGCTCGCGTTCCCTTGCGACTGCCGCGGCTCCCCGGTCCACTGGGGCTGCCTCCGGCGCTGGCAGCAGGCCATGGCCGGCCTCGATCCGTCCCGACCCGATGCTCGGAGGAGTGCGCAGCAGTCAGTTGAGAAAACGGTAGTGGCCCTTGGGGCGGGAGGAGGAGGAGGAGGAGGAGGAGGAGGAGAGAGGAGGAGGGAGGAGGAGGAGGAGGAGGAGGAGGAGGGGAGGAGGAGGGGGAGGGAGGAGGAGGAGGGGGAGGAGGGGGAGGAGGAGGAGGGGGAGGAGAGCACGAGATCCGCAGGAGGTGGGAGGGGCAGATGTGCATGCAGGACGATCAGAGGCGGGCGACCTGAGACGACGGTAGTTGGCCATCGGGGGGCTGCCCCTCGTCGCCACGGCTGGGCCAGCTCGGAGAAGTGGTGCGTCTGGTCCCCGGGAGGGCCGGGGGACCGATTTTGAGCTGACGAGATCGGCCAGCCCGATCCAGCCTGGATCGGGTGCTCGGGCGGTGCGATGTGGCCCCGGCGCCGACGAGGACAAGCGTCCTGCTGTGATCTCTCCACGGCGCGAGGGGGTCCTGGGGCCGACGTCGGCACGACCCGAACCTTCTGTGCTCGAGCGGCCCTGCAGGCCCAGGTGCAGCGGGCCGCCGAGGCCGCCCGGTCGGCGGACGAGGCCCGCGCCCGCGCCGCGACGTGCGAGGTGTGCGGCGCCCGCCTTGCGGCGGCCGGCGGCCGGAAGCGGCCCCTGGCGGAGCGCGCGGTGTGCCGGGCCCACGGCGGCGAGGGGAAGGCCGGGGGGCCCAGGGACCGCCTCTCGTCGGGGCTCAAGAGAGGGGGGTCAATGCGAACGGGGGTTGGCCAGAGCGCCCGATCTTGCAGGAGCCTGCAGGGCCAGGGTCGCACTGACACGGGTTTGGGTGCAGCATCCTGCAGGATCTTGCAGGATCCTTCGCCGTTGACCCGGGTTTGGGTTCAGGATTTTGCAGGATTCTGCAAGGCTTGATTGACTCGGGGGCCCAGAGACCCCCTCTCGGGGAAGCGTAAGACTCTAGGCCTCCTAGATGGGGTCGGAGTAGATGGGGTCGGAGGATCGCGCCGCATCGCCGATGCGGCTCGATGCGGAGCCCGAATTTCTCCACGCCGACGTCGCCGGTGCGTCGCCGCCGTCGGCGATGCATCGGCGATGCATCGCCCATGCGTTGGCGATGCATTTACGATGCGGCGCGATGCTCCGGCCCCATTTACTCGGACCCCATCTAGGAGGCCTCTAAAAACTCTAGTATAAGCCGGAACTCGGGTTTGCTGACGTTTTTTGACGAGCGCGCCCCGGGCTTGGACGGTCCAGTTTTCGTGGGGTGTTTGCAGCGGGAGTTCGCGTCAAATTTCAGATTGGATCTCGTCGCTTTGTATGATGGCCCCGTCAGGCCAACCCGAGTCCCCCGTACCCGAGACTCACGCGGGTCATGAATCGAAGAAGAAAAATTGCCATTAAACATAAATTGTTGGCGCTCCGCGCGGATTTCTTGGATCCGCGCTGGGGCCGCCCCGGCGGCGCCTCCGGCGCCGCCCTTGCCGCGCGGAGCGCGCCAGTGAGGGGTATCCAGAGCAGATCCAACAAATCCGCGCGGAGCGCCAACAGTGTATGTTTATGGCGCTTCTTCTTCTAAGACCCCCTCGGGTCATGAATAAATCGTGACTGAAGGTTTCTCGCCAGTTTCGGCCCTTGGGGGCCCTTACAAGGCGTCAGGGCCTTCAAAAAACGACTCAGGATGAAAGATCGGTCCTGGGGAGTGGGTTGAAACCTGGGGGTCGACGTAATGCAAAAAACATGATGTCGAGGGTCTGGGGAGGATGAACTCAGATCTGGCGATATAATTTGTCAATCCGCACTTTTTCCCTTCGATTGCGGCCTCTGGGCGTCGTTGTCGGGCCTCGCCGGGCCATCAACAATGGAAGTGTGACGGCCCACTGCTTCCCGGGAAGCTCGCGTGCCGCGAATCGGGCGTCGGCCAGTTTCGGTCGCGGGGGCCATCACGGATCAATCTGGCCCGACAATGCCGCAGAAAGATGGGATTTCAGGCTCGGGTCGCGATTTTTCGCGATGTTGTATTTTTGTTGGACGCGTCGGGCCTCAAGGAACGACAAGAAGTGCGGGGAATGCGTCCAGATATCCACCGCCTAATTAGGGAGCTGGTCTTAGCAAGATCGGCTCCCAGGCGGTGGGTGTGGATACAGTCGGCGCGCATTGGCAGGTCAATCCTGCAAAATCAAGTGTACTCTTGTGTCCTGTCCATCCCTTCTCGCGTCCTCTGCGTGCTCAGACTAAGGGTACCTTTATGTCCTGTCGTTGTTGGAGGCCGTGCTACCGTCGGAAGAGTCGTGTCCTGTCGCGTGTCCTCTCGTGTGCGCTCCGACTGTGTGGATATGGAATAGTTTTTCGGAGCTTCGCGCGGATTTCTTGGATCGGCGCTTGGCCTCCCTCCCTGGCGCGCGAAGCGTGCCAGGGGCGGCGCCGGAGGCGCCTCCATGGGGATCCAGCGTCGCTCCGAGACATCCGCGCGTAGCTCCGACTTTGTCTTTTGGTGATTGCGTTGTTTGTTCCTCTGGAGGTGGCCCTCCGACGCGTGCCGACCCTGTCGCGCGCCAGTCGCAACTTCTCGGAGTTCTCCGCGGCGGACGGACAGGAGGTTGAGGTACTGGAGCAGGATGACACGGGGGAGTTCTTCCGCGTCCGCGCGCGAAAGGCGCCGAGATACCGCGAGCAGGGCTCCGCGGCGCTGGCAGAGGGGTGGATACGACACATCTGCCGGTGGTCGCTCGGCCACCCTGAGGGCCGGCGCGGGGGGCCAGGAACATTCAAATTGACCCTCTCCATCGAGGGGTAGAAGAACATGCTGACCATGACCAAGCTCTCGCGGGATCTTGTCGACGCCGATCTATGTCATGGTCCAAGCTGACCGTCGCCGATTCGCGAGGATGATTCGCGAATCGACGGTGCCCAATTTGGACGGTGACCAAGATCGACACCAACGTTTGCCTGTCCAGTCTTTGTCATGGTCATCGCTTTCTTTCCCTCCACCCCAGGGTCAGAATAATCAAAACCAGTTATGTTTTCATGTGCGGCTGTCTCCAAGTCTGGAAAAGGCGTCTCTGGGCTCCTTTGACCCTCAGGGTGCCCAATCGACCACGGCACGTCCTCGGGAGGGTCATGGCATCGGCCGCCGCCCGGCGTCCAAAGCCCGCGCTTGAACTCACATCTTGGTGCATGTCCAGCTGCTCGCGGCAAGTTCCGCCAGTCTGCCATCACCGCGCCTTGTGTGGCGGTCCTTCGAACGAGGAAGCGCAAACATGGATTAAGGCGCGTGGATTAGCGACGGGGTCCCGCTTCCGTACGTAAACCGCGCGCTCCGTCGCTAAGTTAGGCGGTACTGGTCTCTTGTTTTGGGGTGTATGTTTTCCGATCCGCGGATCTGGCGCCCACACCCCAGATCTACAGATCCCCTAACTCCACGTTAGCGTGTCTCCGATTCGGGAGACTCCAAAAGACCAGACGGCCGCGACCCATGACAGTTCTTGCCGCTGGGCTCCATTCCACAGAACCGATGTAGGCCGTAGGTTGTAATAGTTGTTTCCCGTAGGCCCGATAGTACCGCAGTGCGTGGAACCGATCTCATTCAGATCGTCAGGGGTGGTGCCATGAAGCAGCTCGTTTCGCTGTTGGGAGTAGGGCTGTACTTAGCATGTGACCGTTGGCGTCCCGATGGACCATGGGGCTATATCAGTGTAAAGGGTTTGGGGGGGAGGCCTTATGTTTTGAGGTGGTCTGGCTCGAGCTGCCTCTGGGAGGATTGTCCGGGAGGGTTGCGACCCCCACCCCCTTGTCTGTTATTGGCAAGAGTGACGCTTATTGGGCTCACAGTAAGCAGTACCGAGGCGCCCCCTGATGTGGGCAGCCTTGGGCCCCTCAGGCGGCGGATGCCCTCCCCCTCCCCCGCGTCTACCTCGAGTGGCCTGCCGAGGCGCGGGGGCGGGGTATCCTGCTCTTCCTGTGCTCCCTCCTCCGCGGTCCTCTCTGCTACACCCTCCTCCTCCTCCTCCTCCTCCTCCTCCTCCTCCTCCTCCTCCGCGTGCGCGGTGATGAGACGACCAGCGGTCGCGGAGACGACGATTGCTCCCCCACCCTCTTCCCTCCTGGTTCCTTGACGACGGGCGATGGTCGAAGAGATTAGAGGATGAAGGGTTGGCTTGGAGCGCGCCTCCCTTGCCTCCTCCTTCCCTCCTCCTCCTTCCCTTCTCCTCTTCCTCCTTTCATTATTATCGTTCTTCTTCTCTTTCTCTTTTCTCCTCCTCGCGCAGACTGGCGATGGTCGATCATATTGGCAGACTTGAGCCCTGCAGGTGTCCGGCAGACCGGGCGCCCCCCCGCCCCTGGAAGCGCTGGCGGGGTTCTTTTTTCGTTGAGGTGAGTGCCATCTTTATGTTGCTATGACGCAGGGCCCCATTGAACATTCGGTCTAAGCCGTGCTGTCGCAGGACATGGTAAGTGGGACTGTGCCAGCGGGGTCACTGGGAGCCCCCAGCGTTCGCCGTCGTTTGGCTGATTTTTGCCCTCTATCACGATGGGCGCTTGCGACCACCGTGCTTCGCAGGTTGGTAGGTAACTGGGCTCACCAAGTGGGCTAAGACGCCCCAAAGCCAAATCACCTCAAGACCTTCCCTGCCTCCACTGTACTTCTTGCTCCCTCATTCCAGCTCCTCGTCCTTCCTGCTCCTTCCCTCTTCTTCCTCCTTTTTCTTCCTGCTCCCATCTTCCTGCTCCCTGGGTCCCAACAGGAGGAGGAGGAGGAGAAGGAGGAGGAGGAGGAGGAGGGGGTGGAGGAGGAGGATGGAGAAGGAAAAGGGGGAGGGGAAGGAGGAGGAGGAGGAGGAGGAGGAGGAGGAGGAGGAGGTGGACCAAATCCCCTCCTGGGGCCCCTCCCTGGCTTGTTGCTTATCTCCTGTATTGATTTTTGTTGCTGGCCGCGGGGCCCGAGGCACGAGAGCGAGGAGGCCTCTGGTGTGATATTTCTTTCGATCTCCCTACCAGGCGCACGGTGCGACCCTGCAGGCGGTGGTCTGACGTGTGAGGGGCCCTCCTCTTCCCCTGTCTCCCTCCCTCCTTTCCCTCCCTCCCTCCTCTCCTCCCCTCCCTCCTCCCCTCCTCCCCTCCCTCCTCCCTCCCTCCCTCCCTCCCTCCTCCCTCCTCCCTCCTCCTCCCTCCTCCTCCCTCCCTCCCTCCCTCCCTCCTCCCTCTTCTTCCCCTCTCTCCCTCCCCCCCTCCTCTCCCTCCCTCCTCTCCTCCCTTCTCTCTCCCTCCTCCTTCCACTTCTCCCTCCCTCCTCCCTTTCTCCTCCCTCTGCAGAGCGCTCGTCGCCCAGAAGGTTGTTTGAGCTTGCGCTGTGGGGGGGGAACTTCCTCCTGTGTAGCAGGCACTTGATCCAGCGCCCCATGCCATGGCAGTTTCCACTCGGTCTGCCCGGGCGCCGTTCTCCGGTGCCGCAAAGGGCCCGGCCCATGTGGCCGGTCAGAAGACGGCTGTGTCTGTCTGTCTGTCTGTCCCTTTCGTTTCTCCAGGGCACCTGGGTGTCTCTGGAGGTTCCCGAGAGTCCCCAGAGGACCCCGGCGTCTTCTTCAGGCCTCTTCGCGCCAGGGACCTGAAACGGTCAGAGCGTGCGCAAACATCGGGAAAACGCGCTTGAATCCCTTTCCCTGGAGGCGGGATGCTTCCCGGGGCCCAAAGAATGTCGAGAAACCTCAATCCTCCCCTCTCTGCGGCAGGTCCGCGCGGCGTCGATGCGGCGGCGACGCGAGCGTGGGCGCTCGGCTGAATGCCGCCGGTGGCCCAAAAAAGGTCCGTGCCATCGGCGAGCTGTCGATCGTTCCGGGCTCCTCCGCAGAGCGCCGCGGGGGGCGCGGGACGTAGGCGCGGCGCGCAGGTGCGCCTCCTCCTCCTCCTCCTCCTCCTCCTCTTCCTCCTCCTCCTCCTCCTCCTCCTCCTCCTCTTCCTCCTCCTCTGGTGTGAGAAGCCAGCGCTCGCGTCGGCGCGATTGGACCGAGCCCTTGCTGGCCTTCTGGGCCTCGTGCGGGGTGTTTTGGAGATCTGACCTGGGCTAGACCTGGGCAGGCTGAGGCCACCCTGAAGGCGAGGACCACCTTCCTGGCAGCGCCAGGGCCCTGAGAGAAGCTCGCCAGACGACGACGACGCCGACGACGACAACAAAACCAACATCAACAACAACTTCAACAACTTCAACAAATTCAACAACAACAACAACAACAACATTCATTTTAAGACTGTTCGCTCTTATCTGCTCGCGTGCCACTCAACACGTATATCACGAACTCTCGATACCCGCCCTCTTCGTCTTCGACAGCACCCTTTTTGGAGGATATATCTTTCGTACCTGCAACGTGTACGTCGTGGAGCCCCTGAGGCAGGGGAAGATAGGACGGATGGAAGGAAGGGGAAGGGGGATGGAGGATGGAGCACGAGAGAGACTAGGAGGAGGGGGGCTAGGAGCAGAAAACACGCTGCAGAAGCAGACGGGCAGATCGGGTGGGCAGACCCTGCTAGGCGGGTCGGGAAGGAGGGCCCAGGCGGCCAGGTCGAGCAGGCGGGTTGCTGAGCGTGTGTTTGCATGAATCGCAAGGAAGTCTCAAGCGACAGCTTGATTTCCAAATCAATCGTGGGGAAATCCACAGCGAGAGCGTGACTCTTGCATGTCGATGGCGCGGCGTCTGAATGAATTGCGAGGAAATCCTGCGCGAGAGCGCGATTCCTGCATACACCGTGAGGAAGTCCAGCGCGAGAGCGCAATGTGGGAATACAGGATGAAGAGATATCAGGTGGGAGCCGTTGAACTGTCATCTCTGAAGAAAAGTTGTTGTTAATCCCCCCCACTGGTGCATATTGTTTGTTCTCAATCAAAGTGTGCCCCTCGACGCTCGCGCCTTGTTTTTTGACAGGGGAAGTCTTGATGCTCAAACTGGGCCCCTGGCCCCCGGATTACAATAACAACGGCTCCCGCCTGAGACCTCCTTACAATTTAGCCAGGATCCCCGGTCCCGCCCGAGACTTCCTCGCATTTTATTCAGGAATCGCGCTCTCGCTTTGGACTTCCTTACAACTTATTCGGGAATCGCTCTACCGGCGCTCCGGAGTCGCGCTCTCGCTGGAGACTTGCTTGCAATGTGCTGACGAATAGCGCCCTTGCGTTGGAATCTCCTGCAATTTACTTAAGCGCCGCGCTCCCGACACCCAGGCACCCAGGAGTCGTGCTCACGCTTCGGACTCCCTCGCAGATTACCTAGGAATCGGGATCTCGCTGCCCTTCGTGGCCCCGTTGCAGCCCTTCGTGGCCCCCTCGCTTTGTTTTGTGGCCCCGTTGCGGCCCTTCGTGGCCCCCTCGCTTTGTTTCATGGCCCCGTTGCAGCCCTTCGTGGTCCCGTTGCAGCCGTTCGTGGCCCCCTCGTTCCCCTTCGTGGCCCCCATGCTTTGTTTCGTGGCCCCCTCGCTGCCCTTCGTGGCCCCATATATACATGCCCTTCGTGGCCCCCGCTCGTTCGCACCCGTGGTGGCCCCATATGCATGCCGTTTGTGGCTCCGCTGTCGCCCTTCGTGGCCCCGTTGCTGTCCTTCGTGGCCCCGTTGCTGTCCTTGGTGGCCCCGTCCTTGCCCTCCGCGGCCCAACATACGTATGCCCTTCGTGGCCCCCGCTCGTTCGCGCCCGTTGTGGCCCCATGTGCATGATTCGTGGCCCCGCTGTCGCCGTTTGT